GGTCAATTTTGGGGCTATCCTTATAAAATTTTAAAAAGAGATTAAGGTTCCCATTAAACATGTTTGTGCAAATTTCACTGCTATTGACTCTTTTCTTAGCCATTTATGGGTGCTAAAGTCATTTTCTGAAGGGGACTTTATATGGGGGGTACGGTCAATTATGGACCGATTCTTTTAAAATTCTACGAAGAGATTTACGTTCCCATTAAACATGTTTGTGCCAAATTTCACCGGTATTGATGTTTCTCTTAGCCAGTTATGGGCGATAAAGTCATTTTCTGAAGGGGACTTTATATGGGGGTAGGGTCAATTTTGGGCCTATCCTTATAAAATTTTACAAAGAGATTGAGGTTTCCATAAAACAAGTTTGTACCGAATTTCAACGCTATTGATGTTTCTCTTAGCCATTTATAGGCGATAAAGTAATTTTCTGAAGGGGACTTAATATGGGGGGTAGGGTCATTTATAGGCCTATCCTTATAAAATTTTACAAAGAGATTGAGGTTCCCATAAAACATGTTTGTGCCAAATTTCACTGGTATTGATGGTTCTCTTAGCCAGTTATGGGCGATAAAGTCTTTTTCTGAAGGGGACTTTATATGGGGTGTAGGGTCAATTTTGGGCCTATCCTTATAAAATTTTGCAAAGAGATTTAGGTTCCCATAAAACATGTTTGTGCCGAATTTCACAGCTATTGAAGCTTCTCTTAGCCAGTTATGAGCGATAAAGTCATTTTTTGAAGGGGGCGTTATATGGGGGCTAGGCGAAATCGTGGACCGATATTTGTGCAAAATTTCAGTTCGCTAGCTACTTCCATTTGGACTCTATCGTGTTTTCAACAGACAGACGGACGGACATGACTAGATCGTCTTAGAATCTAATAAAAACCCAGAATATATATACTTTTATGGGTCTTAGACGAATATGTCAACGTGTTACAAACGGAATGACAAAAACAATATATCCCCCATCGTTTTTGATGGTGGGTATAAAAACAGCTGCAGCGTTTTCATTAGAAAACCGCAAATGATTTGTGTAGATGATAAATAAACATTACATTTAGTTATGTTTTTGTTAAAACGTAGATATGTATTTGATAAAATGATTGGCATATGTCATACAGTCAAAGATGAATGAATGGTCTGTCTATAATGCATGAAATTGAACTATGTTTGAAAGACCAATAGAAATTTGCACTTTAAATATATTATTTTAAATTTAACAATTTACAGTAATTATTATGCATATGTAATACAGTGGGATTCAAAAGTAGTTTAAATTTTAAATCTATGATATATGTGTCGTAAATTTAAAATTAATTTCGAAAGAAAAATGATTTCCAAAGATCTCTAAAGAATTTGTCAGACGATTAATTTTGAAGAACAAGTCCATTTTTAGGGAGAATATTTGTGGAAAGTTTAATTATTCTACCTCTCCATTTGGGTCTTTTTCTCTAAAATTGATCAAGTTATAAATGTGCGCATTTTAAAACATGGATTTATATCAATAGCATACTGTTAGGTAAGTCTCACGACTAACTTCATAAATTATCATTAGCTATGAGCTTTTCCCATCCAAAACTAATTTTGGGAACCATGTTCGGAAGTGAAAAGTATTCCATCTGAACTATATATATAAAAGCATTACTGGTCTAAAATACCAATATTAACAGGTCTGAACTTCGCCATCGACTTGTTAGCGCATATTTTTTCATATTTAGGTCAGTTTTTGGAGGCTACAAATTTTACTCTTTATACCCTACACCACTTTAGTGGGGAGGGTATATTGGATTTGTGCTGATGTTTGCTAGACCCACCTTAAAGTATACCAATCGGCTTAGAATCGTTTTCTGAGTCGATATATAAAAGCATTACTGGTCTAAAATACCAATATTAACAGGTCTGAACTTCGCCATCGACTTGTTAGCGCATATTTTTTCATATTTAGGTCAGTTTTTGGAGGCTACAAATTTTACTCTTTATACCCTACACCACTTTAGTGGGGAGGGTATATTGGATTTGTGCTGATGTTTGCTAGACCCACCTTAAAGTATACCAATCGGCTTAGAATCGTTTTCTGAGTCGATTAAGCTATGTCCGTCCGTCCGTCTGGCTGTCCATGTAAACCTTGTGCGCAAGGTACAGGTCGCAATTTTCTAGATAATTGGATGAAATTTGGCACGCACGTTTTATTTGACCCATGGTTGAAATGGTTAAAATCGGTCCATTATTTCACCTAGCCCCCATAGAACAGAACCCCCCGAAAAGGGATTCTGAGGTCATAATTATGTCAAATATACAGATATATCGATAAAATACGGCACAACTAAGTTTTATAGAAGTCTTGATGACCCTGCCAAATTTCATAAAGATCGGGCCCCATTTGACCCTAGCTCCCATACAAAGTCCCCTTCAGAAAATTACAATGTCCCAAATTAACTTATAAACACAAATATCGCGATTTAATTCAGCACAATAAAATATTATGTAAATATAAATATATTCACAAAATTTTATCGGGCTTGGTTCATATTTGCCCCTAGCCCCCATATAAAGCCTCTTTCAGAAAATTAGTTTTTCATCCATAAATTGCTTAAATGTATCGGAACAAGGGAATATTGAAGATAAATGCTTTTTTATGAAAAATAAATCACATTTAATATTCATAACTGGTGTAGGGTATCATATGGTCGGCCACGCCGGACTATACTTTCTTACTTGTTTTACACATAATTTTATATCTTATGTTTTTTTATTTAGGGATATTTAAAGTTTTTTTTTCAAAATTTTTTTAAAATTTTTAGAATGTTTTCAAAAATCCTATTAAATTAGTTCATCAAACTATGGAGGGAATATACCCAGCAACATATTTTCAAATTTTCGTAATGTAGCTAATGTAGTTAATTCATACATTACTTGGTAATGTGTGGTCGTTATCAATAACATTTATTAATATTTTTAATAGGATTTGTAGCTAATCGTCTAGCGCGTATGTCTAATGAAGAATTACTTAATAATTCTAACTAACCCTGGTCGACATTAGAAGTTTTCTGAACAAATTTCGAATTTTACATTTGTGTAAAAATCATTCCAAATAGCACGATAAATAACTTTTAAATAGAGCATAATCACAGAAAATAACTGTACAAAGGTTTTTTGAGCTTTTCAATGTTAAAAAATCATTAAAATTTTAATTTTTGGTGCATATTTTATAAATTTTAAAGCATATTTTTGGTTTCCCTGCTCATAACAGATAGTGGGTGTGGCATTTGCCATTTAAAGAAATTATTATATTTATATATCTGAGAGCATATTTTATAAATTTTAAAAGCCTATTTTTGGTTTACTTCTTCATAACTGATAGTGGGTTTAAGGAAATTATTAAATTGGTATATCTGAGAAAACAATTTTTTTCGAAGTCACTTAATTTTTAGGAAAAAAATGGCCGAATCAGCAATAGGGGTGTGGTACCTCCCATGTGAACTGAATAAAAAAATTCGTATATCTGATAAACTATTACAGCTAAATTCCTCAAATTGTGGGGTGGCACCTCTCATATGAATAAAAATACAAAAATGCATATATCTGGGAAACTATTAAAACTAGAATACTCAAATTTAGCATGAAGAACTCTGACATCTACGTATATAACATTTGAAGAAAAAAATGGGCGGATTAGCAATAGGAAGCTTGGAACCTCCTATTTGATCTAAATGCAAGAAATCATATTAGAGGTAGAATTTTGCATGTGTAACATTGAAATCCATACCCAGTAAAAACTTTCATTACCATGTAAGGGGTTAAAATGCTAAAATTTACTTACACAATAGCATTTTAAGTCATTATTTTAACACGGTGATGTCATTGGAGGTGAGTACTTACCAGAAACGATTACAAGTAATTAGAAAAAGTAGTCATTGTAAATCGCATGAAAAAACGTATACAGCTTCTATATCTTCACTGCCAAGATGACTAATGAATTAGAAAGTATTTATATAACACATTATTAGTAAGACCTTATTAGACTACTTCTATGTAATCCAGACGATATGTAGTAGTCATTGAAAAGTATGTTGTTAAGTAAGTAATTACAACTGAAAGCCATTAACCAGTTTTTGCTGGAAATTAAATATAAAAATTCATATATGTATCTGGAAAAGAGCTAGAAACCTCAACAAACAACTCTGAAATCCTTGTAAACATTTGCGGAGAAATTAGCGTTTGAATAAAGTGAGTGAAAATATCTGGCGTAGCAATACATATGAAGTAAATACAAAGAATCGTATATCTGGAAAACTACTAGAGCTACAATCTTCAAAAATTTTAAATTTTAAAGTGGGATTTTTATTATATAGTGTTTAGGTATAGTTAGTGTAAATCGAACCAAATTTTCATAAATGAGTAAATCATTGTACTAAACTCTGCAAGAATAAATTCATGATTAACGCCAGCCCTAGAGTAGGGCATAATATAGGCAAGCATGTATGAGTATTCCTAAATTCTAATTTGTTTTACATTACTTTATCATTGTATTGAGACATTTTTCAATTCAAGATGTGTGATCAACTGACCGTGAAAATTGAAAATTACTTAAAACAATTGAAATGAAAAATTTAATCTACTGCAGTAGCAGAACAAAAAAAAAAGAAAACAATCATTAAGTCTAAAGAAAATTGTAACAAAATAATTATATGTCTATGGTTTTGTTTTATTTTTTTTGTTGACAAAATGGGTGGACAAATTAAAGAAATGTGGTCTGTAAATTTGTGGGTTGGTAGGACAGTACTTACTAAAATATACAGTTTTGATTTGAAAATTCATAAACAAAACAATGGTATAAATTAGATAAAGTTTGATATAAATGAAATTAGTTGACAACTGTTAAAAGAGCTTGCAACATAGCAAACAAAAATTAGCCAAAGAATTGGCTGGCGGTCAAGGAAAATAAAACTACTAAACGTGTCATTTTCATAAGAAAACATTTTAAATCGAACAACAGATATGCTGAAACAAAGTGTTTTTATTACCTTAATTTTTAACCTCCTTATAAATTATTGTCATACATCTTTGCCAGAGGATATTGCCAATTTATCGGATGAATGTTTAACAAACTCTTTGGAAACTTCCGTCTATTGTCGAGGCTCACGCGCCATTAATAATATTATCAATAATTTAAGTAAAACTGATAAACCAATTGTCATTGTACGTGGTTTGGAAATTGTACCATCATCAAATGGACATATTAATAATAATAACAATACCGCGGATAGTGATATAAATAATAAAAATAAAAAATCCAATGCTGTGGGGGAAGGTGATACAGATGATACCTTTCTAGGACGCTTCTCTCGCTATTTGCGTACACATGAATTGAATATAAAATTTTCCGATTTGATGTCTTCAGACGAAAGTGAACATTTTTTGGCACGTGATGTAGAGCAGAATGGAATGCAAATGAATCCATCGGATGGTAAGTCACTGATTGTTATACTGACGTTGACAAAAAAAGTATGATGGACAAAACGTCAAACAAAATGTGTTTTATGGCACGTGTCATCATGGATTCATGTATCACAATCAAATGTACATCGATATGTGTACAAATCTTGTCATTACATTTTTTTCCTAAAAATATCATGTTTTGGTTGAAGAAATTTTTGTTTGTGATATATCACGATTATTTAACGTGATAATATGTATTTGGTCATTGAACTGAATTTTTATTCATTATTTTTTTTTTTTGTTTGTTTACTTTGGCTGGTGTTATAATGTCATTTTGTATGCAAATGACAATTTTGACAGTGTGTAAATTTTATGGTTTTTATGTAAAATTTTATATCAATTATATGTATAATGTTTAAATGTGTGGTAAAGCGCATTTTAAACATTATCAATTATTGTAGTGAATACGAAATTAAAATTAGAAATTTTTTGATATTTTTTTTATAAAGTCAAGGTTTTTATTTTCACTTAATTTACAAGTATTTTAGTAGTTCAAGATCACAGTGGGTTTTTTTTTTTTGTAATAACAAATAATGACTCATAATTACTTTCTTTTATTATGGCGTACTTTTTTATTTAAACAGCGCTATCTAAACACTACTAACTAACTAACTAATATCGCTCATGAGAGAAATAGAAACGAACTGAACATTAATGAACTAAACTGAACATGAATGAATGAATACAAGAGAGCGAAATTAATTTTTCGCTAATGAAACGTAAACTGTTTTATTATAAAAAAAATTATGTACGTTTCATCAGCGAATTTAATTTTTCGCTCTTTAAATTAAATATCTCTCGCGAGATTTATTACTTCAACTAATTAGAGAATGCAATCTGTCGATCGTCTTTTATGTATCTTATCCCTTCTGGGGGAAATCTTAAACTAAAGTTTGAATAAAATATAAATTAAAAAAAATTTATTGCTAACAGACAATATCTCAATGAATACAAGAGATTTTTAAAGAATTCAAAATATATTTTATGGAAAAAGAATTCTGGATTAGGCAGAACGGTTTTTTGGTGATCTAGGGACAATTTGTAAAAATCTGAAAAAAAAAAATCTGTAAGGTTTTTTTTTTCAAAACTAAAATTTTAAACCCAAACATATTTTAAATTATTCGATTGATTAAGAATAATATCGTAATATGAACACAGAGGGAAAAAAGACGTTTTAAAATAATACACGACTGGCATAATTTTTCAACAACATCCGTTGTCAAAGTATGTACGTCAAGATATGTACGGATAGTTGTCAAATCAACAACAAAAATTAAAAAATACACGACGTTATCAAATCTACAAAAAACATTAATAATGTGTTACCAAAGTGACAACGCTATCAGAACGTTGTGTTGTCGAAATGACAACAATTCCTTATCGAAATCACAATGATGTATTGTCAAAATTACACCAAGCTTAATCGCAATGACAACAATGCGTTGTGGCAATAACAACGATGCATTGTCAAAATTACAAAAGGTCAAAGTGATAACTGGGTGTTATTTAAATTTTATAAACATCCGTTGTCTAAATGTTAACAAACGTGGTAAGCTCATTTTTGACAACAGATTGTATCAATTTCGGTACTTTTCTTACGGCTTTTCCCTCTGAGTATAAATCTGTAAATAATGTGAATTGGTCCTCGTTCAAAAACTGAAGTCTAGGTTATCATATAATCGAATATGACCAATTAAAATTTCTAATTTGTTTTCATTTTAATATTAATATTATATTTTGTGTTTAGCAATTAAAATTCTTTGGTATTTCTACTTTTATATTCCAAAAGCATGTTTCCAGTTTACATAATAAAAATGTAATTTTTCATTTTAAAAGGAATATTTTTTGAAATATTTGTTTTTCCTCATTTTTACTTTTCATGTTATCAAATAACTACAAATGGCATAAAATTAAAATGTAAATCCAAAATCAACAGAAGCACGAAAAAAAGACAAAGGCAACGGCATGATTATGGCACTCGGTTTGATGATGTCTAAAATGATGGCTGTCATGGGTCTGGGTGGCATCGGTGCATTGGCTATGAAAGCATTGGGTGTTGCAATGACTGCACTAATGATGGCGGCAATGGTTGGTGTAAAATCGTTGGCAAATCAGGGTCATGAATCATCACACAGTGTGCAGTATGTATCAGCGGATGGTCATCATCACAGGAGAAGGCGACGCAGTAACAATCATAACATTAATATAGCAACTGTATCAGAGAAGGATGTTAAAATGGAATTACCATCACTGGTCTATAGAGGATGGCAAAAGTGATAAAGTCATGGGAAAGTTATTCCGTTAAAGTGTTATTCTGTTTTTGTATTATTAAATATGTTGATAGTTTATTTATTGTTATAGTATTTAGAGGGGTTTTTTAAGTATTTATTTATTTATTAAAAGAAGTTGTGAAAAATAATATATATAGACATTTTTACTTATTTTTATATATTTTTTTGAAATGAAAAGTTAAACTTAGTATTCCGATATTTACATAAACAAGCCTTTAGTTAAGTTTCCTACATGATATCAGTAGTAGATACGTTTGATCTAATGTTTGTAACCCATCAAAATGAATACAAATTGATATTTTAAGAAAATTTATTAACGATAAACTGATTTTCTTGACGAGGTCTGTATAGAAACCAAGCTTTTCATAAAATTTAGAAAAGATGTGATCAAGATCAAATTTAAGCATCATATAGAGAAAAAATTACACTTATTTTCCTCACAATCGGCCTATAATTAGCCGTAGTAAGACGCATACATGTCGGTATCTATATGAAATTCTTAACTTTTTATCAGAGTAAGTAATTTTTGCACTCGTGAATATTATCTTATTTATTTCTCTCGTTATACAGCTCATTTCACGAGGATTTTCTTTTAAACTCGGGAGAAGTATTTTTATTTCAACTCTTCATTTTTTATGTTCACTTCATGAGTGATATCTATGTATTTTGATTTTTTAATTCATCTCCCGAGAGATATCAAAAGGAATAGAATTTGAGTAAAACTCACATTCAAAAGATGTGTGCGGCAAAACCGGTTTTACGGCGGTGTAAAAAACAAAAAATTTATGAAAAAAATGTGCATGTGTGTGAGGTTGTAAAAAAAGAAAAAAGATGAGCGTGTGTGTGTGCATGCTTGTGCGAAGAAATATGTTTTTGACTTTATGTCAGTCATGGGCAAACACATACCACCATGTGTATATTTGTGTGCGTTAAGCAGCAGAGAGATGACTGCACGTTATAACAAAATGGTGGTACACTGAGAAAAGTTTTGAAATTTGTTTTCTATTGCAAATACTTTTTACGACGAGAAAAACTCATGAACTTTTGGGCATTTTAAACAAAAATGGAATAAAGGGAAAGAGTTTTTCATTTAAGAAAAGTAGTAGTATTTTTAAAAAGTAGTATTAAATAAAACTACTGAAATATCATTAAGAAAATCACGACTTTCTATTCGATTTCGAACTTTTAAGGGATATTACCGAGATATTAACTGAACTTAATTTAAAGTTCAACTAATCTATCCAAATCAATGTTTCCTTTATATTCCTTAATACGCAATAAGTCACCAATGTGTTGATCGGTTAACCTATTCCGCAATTTACTTAAAATCAGTTTCATACTTGAGAATGCCACCTCACAGTTATATGTGGTGCCAAACATGGAATATAGCTTATATATTTCGTTTTTTAAATTGAAATATTTTGTAACATCTATCTTTTGCCAAAATTTTTCCCCAGATTCCATAGGAACTTCAAAATCATTACGCATTTTATGCAATTCTTCGTGAAGAAAAGCATCTTGCTCTTCTATTTCACATCTAAGGGGATTATCATGTATTTCTATTGTTTTTTTTTTTATAAATTTTAAGTCTTGAAATCTGTCATTGTAATTCTTTTTTATGGATTCAACTATTTTGGCGTATTTCTGAATACAATCAAACGTATTAAAATTAAATTCTATGAATATTGATGAAGTTTTCTTAAGATTTGATATACTATTACTTTTTAATTGATTTATTAAGAGATCTAATTTTGTACTAAATTGGTGAATAATTCTATTCAAATGAAATATTTTTATATTTTTACCTTGCAGGCATAAATTAAGGTCATTTAATATCTCGGTAATATCACATAAAAATGCGAAATCTAATAGAAAGTCGGGATTTTCAAGACAATTAGTAAGGTGTTTTGTATCTTTATTGGATAAAGTTTTTAAAAATTCGAGTACTTCTTTTCTTAAATGGAAAAGTCTTTCCAAACTTTTGCCTCGACTTAGCCAACGGACTTCGGTATATAAAAGTAAATCTCCATAATCCGAATTAAGGTTTTCTAGAAAATCTTTAAATTTTCTGTGTGTCAGAGAATTGTGCCCCCCTCTTATTATATTTATTATTTTTACAACAACATCCATTGTATTTTTCATACCCAACTCTTTGGAGAAAAGAGCTTGTTGGTGTATGACACAATGGAATGCTGGGCAATTTATTCCATTTTTGTTTAAAATGCCCAAAAGTCCTTTATTTTTGCCTCTCATTACCTTTGCTCCATCCGAACATATTGAGGTTAATTTATTTTTGTCAGCAAATGCAAAAACATTAACATCTAATGCATCATACAGAACTTGTCCTGTTACATGACCATGAAGTGAAACCACTTCAAACATTTCTTCGAAGCACTCTAAATTTGCATTAACTGTTTTAATACAAATAATTAACTGGCAAATATTATTGATATCCGTACTCTCATCTAGAGAAATCGAAAAATATTTGCAATTAATTAATCTTTCTTTTGCTGACATTTTAATAAATTTGCTTATATCTTCCGTTCTTCTTGTTATAGTACGACGAGATAATGATGGTATATCCTGGCAGAGTTTCATAGTTTCATGGCATTTTTCTCCAAAACAACTCAAAATATCTGTAGTTAAATTTAAGAAAAAAATGCCATCCTCAAATGGGCGACATTGTTTTGCTAACGATAAAGCAACTACATAAGATGCCTTTTTATGAGGCAATGATTTTTTTTGGCTATTTAAAGGAAGATTGTTGCAATTATTTGCTGTTGTTTCATTAATTATAAATTTTAAGAAAAACTCTGCTTTTAATTGCAACAACTTTACTTTTCTGTCATGTCCCCTAAGGTCATTTAAGGGTCCATGGCAAGTTTCATAATGCCTTTTCAAAAAAAATAAAGCTTTTCTACATATAATTTTATAACATACGACGCATTGTGCCTCACCGTCCATGTTTTCTATAAAAAAGAAATCATTTTCCCAATTTATATCAAACATTTTGCTAGGTGTAATAAAAGAGAAAAAATCATAAGCATAAAAAAATCCGCAACGTGATCTTGCTTCTACAAAAGCTGAACAGCAACTGATTTGATTTTGATCTCTGAGATCGTAACAAAGCAACAAACAAGTGGTCATTTTAGTAAAACACAGACACACTAATACACACAAGCTTATAGTGTAGGTGTGTCAACAAAGCGTCAGCAGAATTTCTTGGCCTATGCACGCGTGCATTAGAATTTCAGTTTTGCTCGTGACTGCTTTATGTACAATATTATAAAACTCCCGATAAATTCATTTGTACACGTTTCATAAGAGAAATGTATTTTCCGCTCTATAAATTTAAATATTTCTCGTGAGATTTATTTTAAACTCAGGAGAAAAAAACAATAAAGTAAATAATTTATTTCGTTCGAATTAATATCTCTCTAGAGAGAAATCAATTAGAACGCTCTCCTTACTCTGCTTTTTATATGAATAGATATAATAGATCATCGATCATAACTCAACATACATTAGTTCCACATCCGAGTACTAGCCTATAACAATATAGGGTATCATATATACAGACTTAACTGACATAATATTCTTATTTTTATTTATTTTCTCAAGATTTACATAATAACAGTGTTAGCTAGCAAAAATACTCGAAATATTTTGTTTTATTAAAATTTCAAATATCTTAACCAAAACTGACTGACAATGAAACAGTTTATAAATTCTTCTTTTCACCAGGTGTAATACAACTGGTTAAAAATTCATGGAAAGAAAAATTATGAAAACAATTTATAAAACAACATTTTTTAGCTGTTACATGTTTAATTTCACTTCTATTGTCTGCGGAAGACACAAGATAAAATTACCATTTCAATAAGATTTTTTGTTTCTTCTATAACTCGTAGAAATAAATATGTATGCAAATTTTATACAATACTGTTTTAAGAGAGGATTTATTTCAAACACCTACTGGATGACGAAATAAAGTAAAAAAATTTAAATGAAAAAATTATGGACAGGCAGCAGCAGCTAAAAACATCGCCATAGCACTTGTCTTTTTTTCCATCTTTCAACAGTTGAAACCTCAACTTCTGCTGGATTTTGATAAATTTATGAATTTTGTTTCTGTTTTTGTTTAAAATTATTTTTGGAACAAAATTAAAAACAACAAATTTGAAAAACAAAAAGCTGAAACATTTAAAAGAAAACAGTGAAAGTGCATAACATTTAATCGGCTTTTACAAGAAAAAAAAAAACTTAAGATGATTTTCTGTTTATTGTATTTTCTTGGTATTTTATTTTTAAAGTTAAAGTAAATGAGTATTATTACTTAATAGATGTTAAGAGGAAGTAAAGTAATTTGATAATGACAACAGCTATGGACTATAACAAGAATAAATTCTTTATTATTTATACAATTCCATTTGTTTACATTTATACATAGTAAAAATTGTTTTATCTCAAATAAAACCATATTTTTTAACCAAGACTTCGAATAGTCTCGAAAGAAAATTCCCTGCAGAATGTATGTATATGTCTTATATGTAAGTCATTATTATAGTACTTAAACGTTATAAAGACGGTATGTCATCGAAAAATAAGTTGTGTAATTACAAGTTGTTACCAAGTTTTTGATGGGTTAGTGTTTTGTACCTAATTCATATAAAATCTATTCCTCATAATATACCAATATTCCTTATAAAAAACAAACATTTCATTGGAAACTTAAAGTTGTTTTTACTATATATAATATTGTAGGCCGACCATATAATAAATACCCTACACCTGTGACAAAAATAAAATGTGATTTAGTTTTCTTAATAAAGCATTTAAGTTGAATTGTACCTCAGATATACTTAAGCCATTTATTGTTGAATAAAATTGTGGACATTTAAGACAAATTTTGAAGGGTGCTTTGTATAGGGGCTATAACTATAAAATTCATGAGGGTCATCAAGGCTAGTATAGAACTTAGTTTTTCAGCTTTTTGTCGAGATACGAGTATATTAAACATAATTATGAACTTAAGAGCCCTATTCGGCGGGTTCAGTTGTATGGGGGCTAGGTGAAATAATGGACCGATGTTAACCATTGCAAATAGGCTTCGTCTCCGATACCATAGAAGATCATGTGCGAAATATCTTCAAAATTGCGGCCTGTAGTTTGATTACAAGGTTTACAAGGCATCTTCGGAGGTTTAGTTGTATGGGGGCTAGGTGAAATAATCTTAACCATTTTCAATAGGTGTCGTCCCTATGACCACTAAAGTGGTGTAGGGTATAAAAAAAAAAACATTTGTATATTTGAAAGGACTGAAATAGGACAAGTGTGGGTCCAATGAATATAAAATTACATTATTCCAATGTTTAGAAAAGTACTGAAATATGGAGTTCTCTATGGTAAAATAATTGAGATATGGGCAATTTCGTGTCAAGTGACCCAACTTAAAAAATATATTTGGATGAAATTTGCTTCAAGGTTAATACTATTGGTTAGTATGTCAGGCATACTATCGGTCAAGAACTGCCGGAATAACAGGGGATCAAAGTTGGACATTTTGGTCAAACAGGGTTTTTCTCAAATAAATGTTACCTTTCACCTATTGGTCCTAGCAAACATAAAAAAATTAAATTTTTTTCAAATAGTCTACTTTTGTCTGGGTTTCAACTATTTTTAAAATTTCACTGTGCTATCAATGTGTGTTTATATACCCAAAGTATTATCTATGAAAATTATGGACCTATTGAACTAAAATACATTTTATTCTTGGACCAAATTTCATCGGAATTGTGACCTGTAATTTTATTGCATATTATTATGCTCACATGATCGGATGAGGATCTTGAGAAACAAACACTGGAGCCTGTAATTTATAAAGTAGCACAGTAGTAGTTATATATAACAGGAATTTCATGTCAAGTGACACAACTTTTAAAATCGATGTCTTCCGATTTGGATGAAATTTACACCAAGGTTAGTATAGGATAGTAGGCCAGACACAAATTAGTCCATTTCCTTTAAGAGTTTTGTGGTCACTTAGTGGGATGCAAGGGCATATGTAAAAAAAATAATAATATTTTAACACAAAAACTTAACGTTTTGAGTTAAAATATTTTTTATAGATATTCCACTCGCATCCCACTAAGTACTCACAAAGCTCTTAAAGGTAATGGTTTAAGCTTTCTTTTGAGCAAAAAAATAAAAAGCAACCAAAACGTCCAATTTGGAATTACGTCGATTTCGCATCCCATTATGAGACTATTAAGCCCTTACAGGAAATTGTGTAAGCTTTCTATTAAGCAAAAAAAGGGGCCATTTTGAAAAAAAATTCAAAAAATATTAAAGTAAATTTTAAAAAATTCAATTTTTTCTTTTTTGGAAACAATGAAGAAATAGCTATGTGAACTCCTTTGGACAATTTTTGCTAGGGCCAATAGGTGAAAAGTTACACTCATTTTAATAAAATCTTGTATGACCAAAATGTCCAACATTGAACCCCTCTAAGTCCGGCAGTTCTGGACCGATGGAGCTAAAAATTCGTGTCTGGCCTACTATCCAATAGTACTAACCTTGGTGCAAATTTCATAAAAATCGATTTTTTGAGTTGGGTCACTTGACATGAAATTGCCCATGTATGTATATGTTATAACTACATATTATCAACAGAACTAGAATTATGATCAGCAACTAAAATGAATAACTTTCTCTTACTTAAGTAATATTTCGATAAGACAGACAAGATCAAAAGTAAGTGAGTATGAATTCTCGTATAAATTAGTATGGCTCCGTAAACATTGTCGAAAAATTCAAATTCTGTATACTTAAGTATAGGTATGTAGGATCTCAAGAAAAAGACTATTAGATATTGAACGATGGCTCTTGTCCTAAAATTCAGCTGAGAATAGTCAAACAGCTTTTTGGTTATTTTCCTTGCACATCATTACTTGAAATGATTTGCTAAATTTTTGTTTCTGGACCTGACCTATTTTTAGGTGAAGGTCTCTAAATGGAACCTAACCATGGTGGAATATAGGAAACTTTTATTATTATCTTGTTTAGAATTTGGATAAAATGTATATTTTAACATTAATTACTCGATTTCTTGGACCATCCTAATGTTAATACATTCTCTACATAAAATTTAAAACATTTTTAAGCACAAAATACATACATAATTATATGTATATACAGATATTTAGGTATTGGACTCGCACTTGGAAATAAAACTGTGACAACATGTAAGAAAAAATATTGAAAACATGAAATTAAAACAAGAAGTTTGATATTGAATGAACGAAGATAAAGTTGTAGTAACAACAACCAGTTTTTTTTTTAATATTTTAAACCAGAAGAAATTTGTTAAAAAAAAGAAAAAAAAAAAATATTATAAAAGTATTGCAACATCAAACCTGTATGGAATGTGGAATAAATTTCATTCATGAATGAACTTCATGGTAAGAAAAACATGTTTGGTAAACAACAAGTGTAAATAAAACCTGGAAAGAAATTTGTGAGAAAATACAATTTTAAGGGAATTTAAATGAAATCCTTTGGTTAAGTAACTTTTAAATTGAGAAATTTTTGTATTATGG